GCACCATCAGCAGAGCAGTCTTCAGCCACGGGCAGGGTATATGCAGTGGTTCCTCGTGATCATGGCGCCAGCGGAGCTGTGGTGGAGGGTACGTTCTTTGTGAACTCTCTTCCCGCCCGTATTCTTTTCGATTCGGGAGCTTCGCATTCATTCATCTCGCATGCATTAACTTTTAACATTGTTAAAAAACCCTAAAAGCGTGAAATACAATTTTCATTAGCAAAAATATCACTCTGCATAAATTTACCCATATGTGAAAAAGAACAAAGTCAACATTAACGCCATTAAGAATAGTTTTCTAAAAATTATTTAAAGTTTAAGGGGACTTGCAGTGATCGCTAAAAATTAGTAGGGTTTTATGACATTTTGCGAGTTAAGTGATATTATCTAAGGAATGACCAAATTTAAGGTGTTTTCTGAAAGGCTAAAAAGCACTTAGGTACCTTATAATGTATTAAATTAACTTAGTTATTTATTAAATTATTTATTTAGTTAATAATAATTAACTTATTAATATAGAATAATTTTAGCCCTAACCTAAGCTACATAAATAAAATAGGAGTTTCTTTTTGCTCCTTTAATTCAATGCATGTAATCATATAAGGAATCACCAAAAACATCATAGTTGACAAATTCCCACACGAACATAGTTTGAGACAAAATAGAATGCGAAATGGAAATAAACTTTAATTTATTAAATGAACCACATATTCACATCATCTCCAAAAAAAGGCAAAAAACAGTTGAACACCTTAAAAATCTCAGTGCATAGCAATGTTGATCAAAAAAAGAATATAAAATTATAAAAATTATAGAGAAAGCAAGCTCGAGAAAGCTGAAGTAGCGAGGAGAAAAAATGAGCTATAATTGGCTATTTTCTTCCCCATCTAAATTTTAATTATGAATTGGAATGTTGATTGGAGAAGCGTGATAAAATTTTATTGTTATTTATTGTGATTTGGTGGGAGAGGAATAGTTATAAAGTTTTTTATCATTAGTGCAAATTGTAAAACCCAAAAAATTTGAATATTTTATGATAAATAATAATAAATATATTATATATTTATAAATAACATATTATGATGTTTGATTATGCTAGGAATTGATTTGAGATCAATTCAATGTATATATGTATATATATAAGAGCAAATGCACAAATCATGCTCGATGTGTAAATCTAGAAATTTATGACTAGTGGAGAGATTTTGTATTTTACATACTAATACATTATGAATATGGAAAAACTTAAAAGACAAAAGTTGTAGATATCTTTAGCAGCTTTCCAAAAAATCTTTAATCACCTAATTCCGACGTGGGATGCGAAAGTTACAGCCAAAATACCGAAGAATATGTTTCTACTCAGACTGGGTTTTCCAGTTTCGAGTTTCGGGTTTTGGGTTGTAGTTTTTCAGGTTTGTTGTCATATATACATATGTTTAAACACGAAAAACACCTCTTTTCTCCTGTGTTCCAAACCCTAGTAGCCCCCTTTTTCCCCTCTCTCAAACCCTAGTTCTTTTCTTTGGCGATTTTGAGGGATTTCGAAGGATTTTTCAACGGTTTTTGTGCAGTGCAGCGAATGGAATTAGTTCTCTTTCACGTGGCAGGAGTTTTTCAGCATCTGAGGCAAGTAACATTTCGCCCAACTCTACACCCTTTTATTTTACACGTTTTATTAAGTTTTATTTGGATTTTTCGAGCCTAAAACATATTTTTAGTGTACAAAAGATAGATCTTTATAACTTATGAAGTGAGAATACATTATCATAATTTTTTTTAATTGATTACAACAGTAACCTTGACATATTTCAGATCTAAAATTTATTAATCATGAATTTAATCACAAGTTTTTGCTTTTAAAACGTTTAAACATGTGTATATAAATGTTTAGGGTTTCGACGATATATTTTTAAACATGTGTATATAAATGTTTAGGGTTTCGACGATATATTTACATGCTAATATTTCATTTCATATTGTTTCATATATGTTGATATCATCGACGATATATTTACATGCTAATATTTCATTTCATATTGTTTCATATATGTTGATATCAGTAATATTATACTTGGAAAATAATGATATCACTTCTAGATTTGTTTTGAAGCAGACAGAAACCTGTGAAGGGTTTCTACCTATTTCGGTTGATCGACGGCACAGTTTGTGCATGTTTACTTTTGTTGTGTGCTTTAATATGAACGAGGAGTCGCCTCAAATATTTGGCGTTCTTGCGGACATGAGTTTAGATTTGCACACCGAGACACGTGTGAAATTAGTGTATATGCATCCTTTTCATATATCTCATCGATATTCTACACATTTCATTCAGTCCATGTGTTGGGCAATTATTATGTGCAGTCCATGTGTTGGACATTCATCATATTCAGTTAATGTGTTGGACATTCATTATATTCAGTCCATGTGTTGGACATTCATCATTCAGTCCATGTGTTGGACAATTATATATATGTAGTCTATGTGTTGGGCATCCACTACACCTAGTCTTAGTCCATGTTTAAACCTTGAGTATGACACTTACACTTACACTTACATAAGCTGGACATGACATTTATGTGGGTTTTGACATGACATGGTATTTAAGTTCTGAGATGGGTTAGTCTTCTTTATATTATTATTCCTGTATTAGATCTTGGGTTTGGTATTTAGGGATTTACAATTTGAGATACAATATATATACATGAGGGTTTCCTTGTTTGGATTATTTCACTCGACGTACCTATGCTCGTGTTGTAATTTCTTAAATACTAAAATCCTCTTATTGTTAGGATCAATGATTTTATGTATATATATGTATTAACTGTATTTTCTATATGCAACGAGCCCTCTCCCTTGGGGTTGGTTGTGATGTTGATCGCTAGTGCTTTGACACTCGTTGTCCCCTCCCATTTCAGGTAATGAGCCAGGTGCACGGAGAGTCGCAGGTTAATGACGATACACATTAGTGTTCATCCTCTCTTTATAGTTTTGTTTTATTTTGGGAGCTCCACTGTAGACATTTTATTGAGACATTGAGAGTTTTATTCTAGAAGTTGTAAAGGTTGTGTGTCTTATTTCTTTTTATCATACATTTAGTATTTGAGACTTGTTGAGATCTCTAGATTTTTCATTTTAAAGATTGACTTTGTATTTCTTTATGTTGGATGATGAAATATTAATTCAATCTCTATCATTTCATCAGTTATCTCTTGTATTATCTTTTACTTATTTTTGTACCTACACCTGTTATTGACTCTACTAGAGAGATAGTAATTGTGATGATGAAACATGTTATTACACGGTGTGGTGTATTGCAGGTTTGACATTCCTGGTTTCACCTCGGACTATAGCCTTTTGTGAACTCAGGGGCGTCATAGTTGGTATCAGAGCTCTAGTTCCAGTATCCTTAGGATCATCTTGTGTCGAGTCGTGGAGCTAGGTTAGAGTTTCCTAGGATTTATGTAAAGGCCCTAGGGCTGTGTATTTATAGGCTTCGGGACCTTTGTTTTTGGATAAAAATGGCTAATTCCCTCTTATCCTCAGTTGTAACCACTTAACCACGTTCATGGATGATATTTTATCAGTTGGAGAAAATCCAGGCGGTTAACGGTCAAAAAACCGTCAAAAACAGCCAAAAGCAGCTTTTTCGGCCAAGCCGAGACACTCATGGGTGTCTCGGCTTTCGACACTTGTGAGTTTCTCGGCCAAGCCGAGACACTCATGGGTATCTCGGCTTGGCCGAGATACCATGTGGTGTCTCGGTTTGGCTCAGGGCTTAATCTCGCGCACTTCATCCGTTTTCGCCGTATTTTCATCATCCGAACTCGGAATCACGCGATCTAGAATGTGTTGGAAATCCGACGAGGAGATCTACAAGCTCTCATGATTGAATCATGTGTGGAGTAAATAGGACATGAGGGGCGCTTTGTCTTTCGTAAGCAACACGCAGCTCCCGCTTTATTCGTGTTTCGATTATTCCGAAATTCCGTTGCTTCGCATGGTCCGTCGACTCACTTCATGCGTTCGTCATCGTCAAATGAGCTTTTATGACTCAAATAGCGACGTTCATCATCTCCTTTTCATCTCGAGCTGCGTGCAGAGACCTATAGGTAATTTTTAACACCTACACCGGGCAGATTGAGGATACAGTGGAAGGTGAGACTTAGGAACATGGTCATGTTCAGGGATCCATTGCAGCAGATAGACCGAAGAGGGTGATTCGTTGGCCAGCTAGGTATAATGATGTCATGGTCGCATATGCATTATCAGTGAAGGTCGTTGATGATATAGTTCCATCCACATTCAGGGAGGCAGATTCTAGCCCTGATTCGATCAGGTGGAGGGAAGCTATGGAGGAGGAGATGCAGTCTCTTCAGAAGAACGACACTTGGACACTTGCACATCTACCTAAGGGTAAGAGAGTTATAGGTTGTAAGTGGGTATATACGAAGAAGGAGGGATCTTCTATTGGGGACATTCGATTCAAAGCCAGATTGGTTGCCAAGGGATATGCACAGCTTAAAGGCATTGATTACAATGAGGTATTTTCACCCGTTATGAAGCATTCGTCGATACGGATTTTATTAGCGTTAGTGGTACAGTTGAATTTGGATTTGGTCCAGATGGATGTGAAGACAGCCTTTCTACAAGGAAATTTAGATGAGGAGATCTACATGACACAACCCTTGGGATTCAAAGCTGCAGGAAAGGAAGATTTGGTTTACAACCTGAAGAAGTCTCTTTATGGTTTGAAGCAATCGCCGAGACAGTGGTATAAGAGATTCGACAGCTTTATGATTGGTCACGGGTACACGAGGAGCCCATATGACTCATGTGTTTATAAGCACAAGCTACAGGATGGTGAGCACATATATTTACTTTTATATGTTGACAATATGCTTATTACTTCCAGGAATTCTTCGGCTATTCGAAAGTTGAAGAAGAAGCTGTCATCCGAATTCGAGATGAAGGATCTTGGAGAGGTAAAGAAGATATTGGGTATGGAGATCGAGAGAGATAGGGTGAAAGGGAGTTTGAGGCTTACACAGAAGAGCTATTTGCAGAGGATGCTGAAGAAATGCAGTTTTGATAGAAATGCAAAAGCAGTTAGAACTCATTGGCTCCCCACTTCAATCTTTCAGTATTGATGTTGCCTATTTTAGTTGAGGACAGAGATTACATGTCGAAGGTCTCATATGCCAGTGCAGTAGGTAGCTTGATGTATATGATGGTGTGTACGAGGCCAGATTTGTCACAGGCCGTGAGCATGGTATCGAGATACATGCACGACCCCGGGAAGGGTCATTGGGAGGCCGTGAAGTGGATTCTATGGTATGTTCGAGCCACCGTGGATGTTGGTTTGGTATTCCAGAAGGATAAGAAGAATGAGCAGGATTGTATTAGTTATATGGATTCAGATTATGCTGGAGATCTTGACAAGCGCCGGTCCACTTCAGGTTATGCTTTTACATTGGCAGGTGCACCTGTATGTTGGAGATGTACACTTCAGTCCACAGTGACTCTCTCTACTACAGAGGCGGAGTATATGGCAGTGACTGAAGCTGTGAAGGAGGCTTTGTGGTTGCGTGAATTATTGGAGGACTTGGGGATTGCACATGAGACCATTCGGGTATATTATGATAGCATGTCAGCTATCTATTTGGCGAAGAACCAGGTTTATCATGCGCGCACGAAGCACATCGATGTCAAACTCCACTTTGTTCATGACGTTTTGGATGATGGAGACGTCATATTGGAGAAGGTCCACACGAACGATAATCCTGCAGATATGTTGACCAAAGTTGTTTCAGGAGTAAAATTTGGTCATTGTTTGAAGCTTTTGAACATTCTTCAGTGTTGAGGCCTTTGGAGGCCATTTGGGTGAACTACGTTCGGCTTGATTCCTTGGGCAAGAGAATACATAGGCAGTCTTTCAGATGTAGCTGGTTTGATCTGTTGATTCAGATGGGGGGAGATCACGTTTCAGCTCTAGTTTGGTTCTCGGACTTGTTGCTGGACTTTTGGATGATTTAGTGTCGGCTCAGTTTTTGGTAGAAACATTCGCCGAGATGGATAATTAAAGAATTGGCAAACAGCTAAAGAAAATAACCTAGAAATTCAGCCAGGCAGACTGGTGGTCGACCGCGAGTCAGCGGCGGTCGACCGCGAGGTCGACCGCGAACGTGCACAATGGTCAGGAAGAGCTGGGATCTGAAGGCGGTCGACCGCCATGGTCGAACGCCATGGTCGAACGTCACGGTCAACCACGTGGACCCTGTAGGATTTTTGGGCTCTGTCGTTTGCTTTGGTCGACCGCCGTGGTTGACCGTGAGTTTCTCTGTAGCCGATTTGTTCTCTGTTGGGAGTGTTCGGTCGACCGTCGTGGTCGACCGTGAGTTTCTCTGTAGCCGATTTGTTCTCTGTCGGGAGTGTTCGGTCGACCGTCGTGGTCGACCGCGATACTTGCGCGGTCGACCGCAGGCTGTTTGGGCTGGGCGTTGGGTTTTCAACCCGGTTCGTTTTGGAGCTGATATATAACTCTAATCCTAATTAGTTAGGGTTAAGCAAGGACGATTTTGAGCAGTCTTTTGGAGAGGATTGCTGCATCTAATTGTAGGAGTTTTATGAGAGATCTAGAGCTTTATTTTAGGGTTTGATCGGTGAGATTTATAACTCTATTTGTATTCTCTTGATTTCTAATAGTAAGAACTCCCCCCTCTTTGCCCCGTGGACATAAGCAACTTGCCGAACCACGTAAATAGTTTGTTCTTGCTGTAATTGTGATTTGCTTAGTGGTTGTGATTTATCTCGAGTTATTGTTCGTGTCGCTTCGAGAACTTCCATCACGCACAACAAAGTGTAAGTTTGGTGGTGTGTGGAACAGTGGAGGTGGAGGTGGAGATGGGCAGAAGAATCTGTTTGTTGCCTCCTTTTTCTTTGACAGGGCTGCCGAGATGAAAACTTTAACTGCAATTCTTCATGTAAATAAACAACTACTGCCAAGTATGTGATAATCATATTTTATTATAATTTTATATCCTCATTATCTATTTTTAATGAATAAATATACCACTAATAATTATTTTTATCTTTAATTGCAGGTTAATGAAGAAATAATAAATAAATACCCAAAAAAATCCAACTTCCTTATTTTCTAACCTTTTATTGAAGCCCAGAATCAAGCTGAGTAGCCTGTAGAAGCCGAAGAAAATAAAAAAAAATCCAATATGAAGAGAAATTATATTCAAGATGGTTGGCCGCAAAGAAACGACGATATCTCCTAATCCGGAAGGTGGAATTTAACATATAATATATGAAAATCACCTATCTCGACGAGACGAAGCCAACCGTGAAGTCAAATTTTTTATTGGAGCATCAATGCGTGCATTGATGCCGGTATCGATGTCAAGTCGTCCAGAATTCATCAACGGCCGAAATTACATTCTTGGGGCTCAAGTTTGATCCAAAGGCTCTCATTCATTAATGTTTACTATATATATGGGTAGAGAGTAAGGGATTAGAGGTGTGAAAATTTTTGTAACTCCATTTGGAGAGGAGGGCCACTCTTAATTAAGAATGCCTTCTAAATTTATAACTTTTGTTACAATTAATAAAATAATTTTTTTCACCACTTTAAATATTTTTTCTCTTTGTTGGATGATAAAGATGGAGATAAAGAATTATTTGAAGGTTTGTATTTCTTTTATTTTTCACTTTTATTTTTTTTTAGTAATTTCTTTATTATTGCTTATTAGTTAGATTTACATTCATGCTTGTAGTGTAGATTTATTTTCTTATCTTTTTATTTCCTTTTTGCACTTTAATTTGTAGAGTAGATTTATTTTCTTATTCATAGTTTAGATATTTTTTCTTTTTATAATTAGTTCTTTTTCTTCTTGTTTTTATTTCTTAAGATGTGAAATTAATTCTTGTAGGAATCTAAGAATTGTATGAAAGTAGTCTAATTTACTTTATGTTATGTAAATTATTCTCTTACACTAAAATAAACATGTATAGGATAATCAACTAGAGAACTAATTGATAGAAGAAGAATTTGATAATCTGTGCTTATCTTGAGTGGTTTGATAGGTTATACTTATGAATTCTAGGATTACTATTTTGTTGTTGTTCTTATCATGATTTTTATTTTTATTTAGATGATAATTTGATAGGTTATACTTTCCTTAAATGGTTTGATAGTCTATACTTAATAAATCTAAATTGAAATATGACAAAAAGAGAATAGTTTGTATTTAATAATTGAGATTAGCTAGTGGATTCAATTCTAGATTTCTCATATCTTTAATTGAACCCTCCATCTTTTATTTTCTTGATTTTTCTCTTCCTTGCTTTTTATTTTATTCTTTGATTCTTTCTTCTCTCCTCTAAAATTCAATTTATTGTCACTTGTATATATTCACAACAATCATTCCTCATATCTCTCCACAACCACAATTTTCATCACTCCTAATTGTCACGCACACAACATAAGAACCGATTCTAATTTTCGCCTACAATACACCTTCCTTGTGGGATCGATAACTCTTTATACTATAACTTGATCAATTGTGCACTTATAATTTTTGGGTATATATTTATGCCTCATCAGTATGCTACCCGGTCATTATACTCATGTTCAGTTCTAAATTATGGATAATTAACAGAACCCCCCCCCCCCCCCTCCTTCCCCCAACCAACCAAAAAAAAAATCTACGCTCACTCACAGAAAACTTGCAGAAGTGTGACCTTGGCTCCATTTCAATTGCTAAAAAATTAATTGGGATGCAAAAAATTGTCGTTGTAGGATTTGATTGTTTCACTAGAAATTGGAAATGAGAAGGTGAAGTTTCACTTTTAGGGGGGGTTTTCGTGATTCCTACGAACTATTGGGGTTTTCTGTAATGTACCTTCAAATTACTAACTAAATGTTTTACATCCTTACTCAGGCTGGTTTTGTGGATTCCAATTTGCCAGTAGCTAAGGTTAAGCCTGCAGATTTTGAGGTTGCTGCAAAGCTTGCTTGCAAAATGAAAGCGGAGGAAGCCAAGACTACATATCCTCATGTCTCAAAAGAAAACCTTGTTGTGCGCAGCGAAAATTTTGGCAGCACCTCGGCTGCACAACAAGAGAGTAAGATCATAACGGAATTCCTGTTTCACAAAGAAAACAAGAACTGAAAGCAAAATATCTCAACAAAGTGAGATATCAGCTCTTCCTCTCATCAGTTCTAGGACTGACTTGTCGAGGGAACCTACAAGCTATTACAAATCACGACAAGAATACAAATTTAACATGGTTCGGCAAATTGCCTACGTCCACGGGGCAAGGAGGGGGAGATCTACTATTCGAGGGAGAGATACAACTAGGGTTTACAATCACTCAATCTAAACCCTCAAACAATCTCTTAAATCCCTCACACAAAAGACAGCAGCCAAATACCCAAAGAACAGCCGCCAAAACCCAAAGGACACAGCCGCAAAACACAAAGGACAACGGCCAAACTTTCTTCTGTGTTTTGCTCTCTGCAGCAATGAAACCCTCTTTTACCCAAAAGTCAGCTCCTTGCACTGCTCCTAGTATAGCCGCCTGCCTATTTCTCCCTTCTGCCTCAACTTCGCACACCCACAAAAAAACCTAGAAACCAATGTGTATTTATAAGCTTCAATCTCGGGTGGGCCTCTTTGTCCACTAAACTAAACAAAGTCCACACGGTTTGTGCCCCCCACATGACTCTGCCTCTGCAATCTCTTCACGAGGCACTTCAAAACCTCTTCGAAACCTGCTGGGCAATAGCCTCCCACGCGGTATTCAAGCTGAATTTGTGGCCCTGTTCACTTGCTTGAGAACATGATTTTTCACGTGGCCCCCACACACCTTTCACAATTCTATCCATTCACGTGTGTTCACAATTCTCCACATCGGCGAAGTTTTCACAAAACTGAGCCGACACCAACTAAACCAAATGTCTCACTTGTTGCATCCAGTACAAAGTGAAACGATTCACGACAACGGACTCAATCCACAACAAGTCGAGACCCAAATGAGAATGTGATCACTCTCCAAACGTCGGTATTAACTCACCAAATCGGTTGCATCATAAAGATTGCCTACGTATCCCCTTGCCCAAGGAATCAAGCCGCACGTAGTTTACCCCAATGGCCTCCAAAGGCCTCAATCCACTAGAAGAGTTCGCAACCCTTCTCCAACATCACGATCAAGTCTACGGCTGATAGCACCTCCAATGGCCCCAAACTGAAACAATCCAAACATCTCCACCTGAGATGAACCAATGGCCATGTCCAAACTACGCCTATCAGCTGCACTCAAAACAATCAACACGTCATCTGCATCTGAAACCGAATGACCCCCATGCTGTGTCACCTCAGCAGAAGTCCTAAATAATATAGAATGACCTGGAGTATATGGAGAACTATCCACCCAATGTGGAGTAGCATCACTCTCCACCCACTGTGATGTCTTAATGATCTGATAACCGCTCTCCATGTGACATACCTGCTCAGAACGAATTCAGAAGCTCCAAAAAAAAAACAAAGGGAGCCTCTGAATCCCAAACGCGTAATCGGATCAAATTTCACATCTTTAATGTGACCAAGTGTTGGGTAACCAAATATCTGACGCAACTCAAAATCTAAAGCAACTCCACCAGATCCAAAATCTCTACATGCAGTAGTCGGCAACCTATGCATAAGATGGCCCAAACATGTCGTAGCCCACACACCAATGCCAATCCTCCTCCAGAAAGGAACAGCTCCCCAAATCTGCAATCTCGTTTCGTCGCCTTAAAGTTTCTACACCAATGAAGTATCTCCAATTGCTGTGAGCTCGGTACAAACGAAACAAAGAACCCCTACCATAATCAGAACGTCAGGTTACCTTTCTATCAATACACTTCCTCCATCTGTTACGGGCTTCTGGGACTTCACACCAACGGGACTTGGTTGCAACCCACCAATGCCTAGAACAATCCCCAACTGCGGAAACCATATACATATTACCTCCCAATGATGCTCCCTTGGAAGGCCCCCGAATGCCTGAATGAACACCCCTCAGAAGACCCCTTGAATGATGGATAGAAGTGCCAAACTCCACATCGGTCTTCTTGCTCATACCAATGGGTTCACAGGACTTCAAACTACAGGCCAAAGCACTCCTCAACAACCTATGCACGTCATTACCAATCAAATAACCCAGCATCAAACAACGCCACAGTCTAGCCGAATCTGATGAAGTCGTCAGCTCCCTATCAATTGTCGTGCTTCCAAGCAAATAATACAAATTGCTCTTTCTGACGTCCTTTCATCACAATCATGGACCCTAATGTGACCTTCAAACGTGCATCCATCAAGGTCACCCTATAACAAGCTGCCTCCAAAGTTCCAAGCGAAATGATATTCTTCGTCAATTGAGGAACGAATCTCACTTCCTTCAGCTCTCGAGTCACCCCGTCACACATCCTAATCCGAATGGTACCAATACCACCAATAGAGCATGCATGTTCATTACCCATGAGCACAACATTCTCTCTTTCAACCTTCTGAAAGCTAGAGAACCAATCCCTCCTAGGGCAAACGTGGTAAGAAGCACCCGAATCCAACATCCACTCTGTAGAGTTGGCAACACAAACTGACGGTAGTGCAGATAACGAATAGCCTGAAGAATCCGAATCTGAATTGTTACCACTAGTCTTGACAACATTCACCTCTGAAGCTTGTACAGCTTTCCCCTTATTATTCTCGGCTCCATCTAACTTTGGGTATTCAGCTTTCTAATGTCCATCTTCTTTACAAAAGAGACACTAATTCCTACGAATTCCACGATGTGCCCATCTAGACTACGACCTCCTTCTTCAGTTTGAACCACGGTCTTGAACTACTAATGCATCTCCCGATGCTTTCTCGGAGGGTTCATTAACACTCTTCCTCAACTCATAATTCACCAACGCTGAGGTCACATTCTTGTAACTAACAGTAGTTCTTCCATTAATCATAGTGAGAACAAAGGTACCATAATCATCCTCAGGCAACGAACACAAAAGTAGCATCGCCTTGTCTTCATCCTCAATCATGATATCCACATTGGCCATGTCTGAAAGTAGCTTCGTGAAGTTGTTAACATGCTCCCTGATGGAAACTCTCATCTTCATCTTGAACTGGTAAAACCTCTTCTTCAAGTGAAGTCGATTCTCAATGCTCTTAGTAAGATACTTTTCATTGAGTGTTTCCCACATCTTCTTCGTTAACGTCTCGTTCATCATATCATAAATAAGATCTGACGTCAAGCATGACCGAATAACTCCACACGCCCTACTATTCATTTTCTTTCAAACATTTTCTTCCATATCAGTAGGTTTCTCTTGCAACTCAAGAATCTCTTCCAAGTTTTGAGCGTCCAACGCATCCATTATCTGACACCTCCACAAACCGAAATTGATATTGCCGTCGAACTTCGGAACATCAATCTTCATGTTATTAATGCTCAAACTATGTATCGTCTTCGTAAGAGATGAACCTGATGTGCTTGGCTCTCCCATGTTGTCGATCTAACTCTTCAAATAAGAATCCAACAGCGAATCCTTCGAACAAGCTCCCAAGTCCAACCCGAAGCTTTGATACCACTTGTTGTGCGCAACAGAAATTTCGGCAGCACCTCGGCTGCACAACAAGAGAGTAAGATCACAACGGAATTCCTGTTTCACAAAGGAAACAAGAATCGAAAGCAAAATATCTTAACAAAGTGAGATATCAGCTCTTCCTCTCATCAGTTCTAGGACTGACTTGTCAAGAGAATCTACAAACTATTACAAATCACGGTAAGAACATAAATTTAACGTGGTTCGGCAAATTGTCTACGTCCACAGGGCAAGGAGGGGGAGATCTACTATTAGAGGGAGAGATACAACTAGGGTTTACAATCACTCAATCTAAACCCTCAAACAATCTCTCAAAATCCCTAACACAAAGGACAGCAGCCAAATACCCAAAGAACAGCCGCCAAAACCCAAAGGACAACAGCCAAACTTTCTTCTGCGTTTTGCCCTCTGCAGCAACGAAACCCTCTTTTACCCAAAAGTCGGCTCCTTGCACTGCTCCTAGTATAGCCGCCTGCCTATTTCTCCCTTCTGCCTCAACTTCGCACACCCACAAAAAACCTAGAAACCAATGTGTATTTATAAGCCTCAATCTCGGGTGGGCCTCTTTGTCCGCTGAACTAAACAAAGTCCACGCGGTTTGTGCCCCCACATGACTCTGCCTCTGCAATCTCTTCACGAGGCACTTCGAAACCTCTTCGAAACCCGCTGGGCAATAGCCTCCCACGCGGTATTCAAGCTGAATTGGTGGCCCTGTTCACTTGCTTGAGAACGTGATTTTTCACGTGGCTCCCACACACCTTTCACAATTCTATCCATTCACGTGCGTTCACAAACCTTCCATACTTGTGTATGGATCTCATTTACCAGTTCACATTGCTCGTTGGTGGATTTGGTTAGTTTTCTTGAATTCCTTTATACTTGCTATTCTTCAAGACTTACTTGCACTTTAATACTCTAAAGTTCCGCCAAGTTTTAACTTTGATACCCTGAAGTTTAATTTTCCCAAATAATATGCTAAAGTGCTAACCACATTTAACTTTAATCGGTTTTTCTATACAGTGCCCATGGGCACTCTATAAGAGAGGAGAGAGATAGAGAGAAATGAAGGAGGAGAGGGGCCCCATGATTTGCATTGGGATCCTATCCTCATTCATTTCTCTCTATCTCTCTCCTCACTTATAGAGTGCCCATGGGCACTCTATAGAAAAACCGAACTTTAATTCCTTCTGTATATTACCATTCAGAGTTCTGCCTATACTCGTAAACTGAAAAGAAATTCCCTAAATCCCATATTCCCTTCCTGCTGTTTAACCCAAAACCCATTGAAATTAAACGCACTGATCTATTTCTTCGCATCTCCAAACATGAAGCACTGAAAGTTGGCACTGAACTGCAGGGAAACAAATACATGAAATTTATCATTACTTTTTGTGAATTAGAACTGTATTTTAAGTTGAAAGTGGGGTGAAAGTTTTGATGTATTATTTGGCCAAAATTAAAACTTCAGCAGCGTATCAAAGTAAAAAATTGGTGATGCATTCGGTAGTAAAGTGTAATTAACCCATTCTTCCGATACAACTCTAATTCCCCATTTTTTTGGTATCTGATGCCAGCAATGGAGCCCCAGCAAGAGATTACGCTAGTGAAGAAAGTGCAGTATGGCGATTCATTAGTAGAAGCAGCATAGCATGGCCACTGGGTAGTGCCATTGAAGCTGCATCATCGACATTGAGACATTGTTATTGACATTGGGAAATTCTGGGGGGTATATAAACTGGACTTCTGACATTGTGAGGTTCTATTCGACAAATAACGCAGAGAATATCTTTGATCGATTTTGCCTTGGCTCACTGAGTGTCGACCTTTCTTGCATGCGAGAAGTAGGTTCACTTGCGTTGAGACGTGGTTGATTGCGGCTTACATAGCTTTGGATTGGTGGAGCGTTGAGAATTGATGATCTTTTTTTTTTTAAATTTCTTAATTTACGCATTTCACTTTTTTTTTTTGTGCGGGTATAGCAGAGTACAGAATATTTATATTAAAATTCTTATTGAGCCACTAGGCCTATCATTTCTTTGAGAATGCTGGTTCTTTTAATTCCAACTGTAACTTCACGATACTCAAACTGCTCCTTTACTTTCTTTTTTTTTATCAACTTAGTTCATGTACCGCGCCTTAGTTACAAATTAAGTTCTTTTTTTAAGTTTTGTTTGAAATTTGATGTTATTTTTTTGTTTTTTATAACCACATTATCCTCAAGAGGTCCTTGTACTTTGATTTAGAACACATGTTTTGAACCCATTTAAAATCAATCTAAGTTAAAAAAAAAAAAATTCAATTGCATTGAGGGTTTATTAAAATGTTATTCTGATATGTTGCCATTGATTTTTTTGGACCAATGTAAAAAAATCCTTGTAATGCTATTAAGGGTTTGTCGAAATGCGTTTGTTTTGCGTATTCAGGTAGTTACGATCAATTTGAGGGTTTAACAAAAGAGGGCTCAATTCTCAAAGTTCAAGGGAGATAAATAAATTTTCAAGGCAAATTTAATTGTGATGATAAATTTTGGATAGGAAAGAACTGCCCAATTCAATGCTCATCGACCTTATTTGAAGCATTGCTATTTTCCTTTTATTTCATTTCCACATGATCCGAGAGACTATAAATATTCAAGAGAGTTGAGTAAACTCATCACCCATCAGCCTGAAGCTGACACTTGAATATCAGATAACCGAGAGCAATTTTTCTTAGTTTCTCTCTTTTAACACAACTCGCTTAACAAGAAGTAATTGATAAGTAATTTTTTTTGGAATCGAATTAGAAAGGATAGTGTTGTTTTTTCAATTTTTTATCTAACAGAATTTTTAATGGATAATTAAAATGAAGCTACGTTTACATCTAACAAAGGGTATGAAGATGTTAGGGACTTGGGTAGTATGGGCTGCCTAAAGTCCCACATCGAGTAAAATGGGAAACTTGATGGGGTATTTAAGTAGCTTGGTTCTTCCCGCTTAACAGCTAGCTTTTAAGGGCGAGTTCCCCAAGTTGCTTGGATGAGTTCCCCAAGTTGCTTGGATCCATCCAAGCAACTTGGGGAACTCGCCCTTAAAAGCTAGCTGTTAAGCGGGAAGAACCAAGCTACTTAAATACCCCATCAAGTTTCTCATTTTACTCGATGTGGGACTTTAAGCAGCCCATACTACCTAAGTCCCTAACAGAAGATTAACATGAGGCATGGCCACAGTACAGAAACCAAGTTTATCTTGTATTAGCCATTAAAATCTAGCGTAAATTTCACAATTTCCTTTTCTAAGGTCAAGGCCGATTTTGAGATAACCAACAAACACCCCCTCTTTTAACTGATTTATTTAAATTTTGAGAGTTCGGCTCAAAACATTTTCAATTTTCTCAACTAACCATCCAAAGTGTGTTAGATTAACCCCTAAAAGGATCGACTGACCTTTTTTTTTTCTTTTAATTAATTATTTTGGTTGTCTTTAAGGGGGTGTTTGTTTCAAAAAAATTTTGGCATTTGGGTGAGATTTCAAATTCTAGGATCAAAAAGTGGGTTTTTTTTGGGTTTTAGAATTCAATAAAACTTGTTTGTTTCAAAACAAATTTTAGAATATCAAATCCCCAAATAATAAAAAAATATTATATTTAAGGATTTGTGAAATCCTCTTTTTTGGGTGAGATGTGGGGTGGATTTCAAAAGTGTTAGACAAATTAAGGATTTCAAATTCCAAAAAGTTTAAAACAAACAAAAATATTACAAATTATAGTATTCTAAATCCTAAAATATTGTTAAAACAAACAAAATTTTAGGAATCTCAATCCATAACAAATTATCTATGGATTTTAAATCCCATGATAAAATCCCTACGGAAACAAACTAAACAACTATTCGGTCTCGCACAAACACCGAATGTCCCTCCTATTCCTCGGTGGAGGATCCCCTACTTCGTACCAAACAGCGTTCCTCGGAATCAACCCACCATATTTCCCCCACGTCTACTTTCCGCACAGGAGAGGTTGGTGAAACCGTCGGCGTGTTCCACGTGTACGGCCCGAATCTCGTGACCTCATCACCTATTCCGTCCTTATCCAGAAAAAAAAAAAAAATCAAAATCGAAGCTTACGACTTTTATTTATACAGGCTACCTGTCTGAAACCTAGACCAGATCTCGTTTTGCCCCTCAAATCCTCGTTCGTTCGTGGCGATTTCAGGTATTAATTTTGATTTGGTCGCTATTGTTAGTGTTTTCTGTAGTGTGTTCTCTGTCCTAACTTGAGAAATCTGAGTAATTTTCGCGGAGCTAGTGGCGATTTAGGGTTTCATTTCCTGTTCTAATTTGATTCTTGAAAGATTTTGTGTGGTTTTTTTTGTTCTCTATTTATCTATTTTAATCAGCGCAGAAGGGGACATGTTAGAATCAAACTGTTTGTGCTTTGTTGTTTTCTTGTATTTTTTGGAATCAAATTTTTTTTTAATTCATAGAAAGGGTTAAAGGGTAAATTTTTTTGGGAGATAGTAGTTAAAAAATATTTTCTAGTTTGGGAAAAAAGAGATAAAACTGATAAAAACCATGAAGAAATACCCAAAAAAACACTTCTACGTCATTAATCTGATAAATATTTGACTGTAGATTCACAAAACGATCACATTATGATCATTTTGTCCTAATTTTTATTTTATGTCTTAGTGAATTTTTCTGTTGTAGTAATTGTAATTTCGAAAGCTTGCGGAGATCCAGTTAATTGGTTTCCCCATTGTTTAATTTAGAGCTAGGCAAGGAATGGAAGGAGTTTGCAGTTTTGTCTGCACAGTTTGATTCATGATGGCCTGCTTTCAACTCCTAGAAATTTGATATAAGTTATTATGTGAGTGTGCTTGTTTCCTTAAATGGTGTGATTCCTTTAGGCCATTAGCAGTCTATTTTTTATTTCCCTTGAGTCGTAGACCTTAACTGTTACTAATATATGCATGCACAATAGCCTGCTTACTTTATAGCATTTTATTTGATGTCATACATATTTATCTACTCTTGTTAATATAAAGCCATATAACATGACCAGCTTGTACTTTCTTCTATTTGAGTTGTTTTTATCTCATGATGAGTCCTTATGTGCTAGGTCAGTTTGTTTAATATCCAATAGGTAATGTATTTATGCTCCCAGATTTTGTGCTTTTCTGCATAACATGCTAACATCTAATTTAAGCAAGAGGTCTTTTTTTCCTTTTTGTATTCAGTTCTACTTAGCTGGCATATTTGTTTTTAGAAGTCAATATTTTGCAGCAGTGAAGCATAAGAAATGGAAAGTGAGTCTTACGAAATTAAAGACTAGTCTATTCCCGCCCTTAGGTTTCTTTCGATTTTAAAGTGCTCTATACTTAAGTCTACGTTTGGCATTAATTTATTGACAAAGGGGTAGCTCAGCAATTGGAAATGAAAATTTAATCTGCTTGCATTGTTGAAGTGATACCTTCAATAAGTGAGTGTCGTAGAATGTCAGATATTAGGCTGAGACAATTCTAATTGTACAACTTACCATTTCTACAAATTAGTAGCGTCCTTCTGAATGTATATCCTGATCTCTTTTACCCTTCGACAGGTCCGAGGCAGAGAAGCTAAACCTATTCTAGAAAGAACAAAACTAGGTTTATTTTACAAAGAACAGAACCTGCTTTTTTTCAACACGGTTGACCTTTTTCACCATGAAGTTGTTGGAAGACACTCATTTAGACAGGTATCATGGCTTTTGTGTTAATATTGTCATAAGTGTAAAGTTTGATATAAATAATGTTGTTTTGAGGATATCATTTTGTCATTATCTGTCTTGATATTTTTCTTCATATGCAATCTTTCAGCATAAATATCTTCCTTAGCTGCTTGAATCTTGGGGAAAGTACTATCAAAGGGAGTCTTGAAGCCTTTTCATGTAAGCACAGATTGAAGTAATTTCTGAGATTCTGCGATCTGTATTTACTTTAACTCAACAACTATTTGTCTTATAGGCAAACATACGGGGGCAGATCGAAAGCTTTCTATTAGCTTAGAGCATGAGGTAAAATCTTAACTCTCTTATCTCAGTTACTGTTAGCTAAGCAGCAACAGAAATATATCTCTTTGTCTTGACATATATTATGAAGCAGCTATAGAGAAATATCTGTCTTCAATATGTTGTTCGGAGGGTGGGAAGATATTTCTATCTTGATATAAGTTGTTGAGAAGCGACATGAAGAGATCTCTTTGCATTGATATATGTTGTTAAAAGGCAAAATTAAGATATCTCTGTCTTGGTATATGTTGTTACAAGGCAAATGTAAGGTATCTCTTTGTCCTGATATATCTTGCAGAGCACATGCTTTTGGGAGACTGAAAATTACTAAAATTTTAAATTTAGTTTTATTTTTATTATAGGCAGAATGAATAAAGCCAATACTAATCATGTGTTAAACAAAATCAAAGGTTTTGACGTTGGTGCTGCCTTGCAAATGATTAAAAATGCATCCTGACAAACCTCATATCTCCTTTCTTCTTGTCCCCAACTGATTGTAGCATTGATAGAAAGTGAATGAAGAGTTTAGAGGAGGTAGAATGGATAATTATAATTATCATCAATAGTTTCCAAACATATTCCCTTCATGCGTGATATAAATTATGAACAACTTGGCTACTTATGAGTATTGGGTGAAATCTAGCCAGCTGTGTTCAGAGGGCATAGCAGGATTCAAAGGTTTGTGGAGTCTATAGCACGTGGGCTTTCGGCTTTGCCTCACAGGCTTTTGCTCAAGGCTTAAGGGGCCAAGGCCTCCTTCTGCCACTTAGAAGCTCCACCCATGTTTTACTTATCACTCTGAGTTGGTGTAAATCTGGCTACAGGAAGCATCGCAAGAAAGGAGCTTCCTGCAAGTGTGAGAGGTGGATTCACAATAGGGCTATTAGCTCATGTATCGAAGAGACCTTCAGTTCCCTGTATCTTTTTTTTTCATGGATCTTTCAGTGTTCTCTCTAGATCTGTATCTTCAGTTCCATAGCTCTTTTTTTTGCTTTGAAAGTGCGATATGAGCTCTTGTTTCAGCAATCTGTTTGGTTTCTTGTCAGCTTTCTATGGCTTGTCTTCTTTCTGTAGGCAAGGATGATTAATTTTGACATTGATCGGCGGCATCTAGAGGGAAAAGATGGATCCTCCTTTTTACTGATCAGTTTGGGACTGTTCATGAGATGCTTTAACAGCCTGATTACAAATCTTATATATTTTTATTTTTTTAGTATTTTTTGTCATAAGAGATTTATATCAGTCAACATCGTGTCATTGATCATTTCACATTGTGTGGTTTTTAAATTTAAAAAAGTCCTTAATGCTATATGCTTTCCCCATACGGGTTGTAAATTCTGTCTTTTTGTTACACATTGGTGTTGCCTTCACCTACCTGCCATATCATTCTCTTCGTTTCATTTCCTTCCAGTATTCTTGGTTTCTATCACAGAATATTCATGTCCTAAAAGTTATGTAACTTCAGTCAAAAATGTAGAAGTTGCTGTTAGAGTATTTTCCTGGAAATAAATTGTGACATTTATGCATGCTGCAACCCCTATTGGTTTTGCTCTTCACATCAGTCAAAACAACTCAACAGCAGAAAAAAGGGGATCTTTTTTTTTTCAAACCTTTGTTGTGCAATTACATTTTGAGCTTTATTTTATTTCAAATCCGATCTGTTACTCTGATTTATTTTAAACGGGACTTTAAAATCCTTTATACACCCAAAGCATCCGAACTGATTTATATTTGAACTCAACATCTGTTTTAATATGCTATAAAGTACAGTGAACTGCTATAATTTGACCTAACCTGCTATAATATTTGTTAAAATCAATTATATCAATTAATAGTTAAAGTGTTATAATAAAGAGGTCAAGTATCGAACCTGCGTTTAAATAAATCAGGTGTGTGTGTGGATTATTTTGGGAGTGTAGTTAAAAATAATTCGGCATTGAAGAAATGTGTTTAAAATTAAAAAACCCTTATTTTTTTTAATCAAGTCATCATCACTTTAGTTGTATATTTGTCTTGCATTGTTTTACTTATATGTCTTTAATTTTATTAACTCAGATATTTGCTTTTGTCTTTGTTGTGTTGTGAATCAAGAGTGTATACTTGAAGAGCTGTATTTTGATTCCTACATATCGATATTAGTTGCAATTTCTAGCTTAGACTCTGTTTTGGTAGGTTGACTGAAATACTATAAAATATTAGTAAAATAATTTGACGTGGTCTGATGTTCTTTCAGATACTTGACTACTTGGGGCAGTCTACAGACAGTGACTCTGCTTCTCCTGTGGACTATTTATTGAGTAGATCAAGGTGGTGACACTTGTCATTATATAAAGCTTTAAATTAGCTCATCCTATGTTTGGGCATATGATCAATTTGTATTTCCTGTTTGTTCCAGCCGGAAAACCTTGATATACCTGGTTCTTACACTCAGTCATATGTATCCAGATTATGACTTCAGGTAGTTTTTTATTTTTTATTTAATTTTTGGAAACTATTATCTGGGACAAAGGGATATTGGGTAATGCCATTGTCAGCTTCTTAGGCGTCATGGCAACCCACTAAATATCCTTTCTTACCCATGTCGGGAGTGTTGTCAAATGGCTTGACAGACGGTGTAAACCGTTGCTCTATGAGCTGAGAGTTCAAGTCTCTCCATTTCCCTTTAAGATTGTGGTTGTGGGTGTACACTCAAAACTTACATAATATTATTACGTTATACTTTATGGCTTGTTAGTCCAGTGAGAACTCATCTGTTCTTTAAAGACGAAGATTGGGACTCTTTCAAGCTTATGTTCGAGACATACTTGTTCGAAGCAGCTGAGGTATGTTTATTGCGCTTTGTCTACTAAAATAAACTGATGCTTATTTTGTCATAACCTTTTCTTTTCTGTTAATATTGTGAACATATGCGTTATCTTGTAGATTTCCTTTTCGAATGGCATAGGAGGATATTTGCATATAAAAAGTATTTAGGATGGCATTCCAAAATTTTCCATAGCATGCTGGTTCTTAGTAGGTTTCCCCTGTCTATGAGCAATATTCGTTGTATTCTTTAATTGAAAAAATACAAATTGTAATAGGGAAATAAAGATCGCAAAAGTTGCCCAACTTGTTACATGCCTAAGTACGGTGGACGGACAAAATGACTGTGATCTTAGGGGTATGTGGAAACAGATCTGCACTCGAATGGCAATTCGAATTATGGATGATCTTATACTCTTCATACAACATGACTAAGAAAGAATGACATAGGCTTATATTGCTCGGTCATTTTTTGACGGTACCCAATATGATAGTAGAAAAACCCAATGTTTAAATATAACTGGGTTTGATACCTAAAAAAGCCTTTTTTTTTGGAGACTAAAATTTGTTTTTTAACAGAATGAAATTGTTGGTGATTGGATTCAATAACAATCATATATTTATGTGACCGGTAGTGTATTTAATCAGAAAAGTTTTTTGTAAGCTGGCATGGTTTAGAATATGTTCTTCCTCATTGTGGAGAGCCCAAGCTATAGCATTATATTCTTTTGTGCGACTTGTGTCTTATAGTTACTTCCCTCTGTACCTAAAACTCAGCTTTCAGGAATATAAATTCTCTAAATTTGCTGATAGATATACAACTTCCTCATGCATATTTAAGGGTAAAAAAATGTCCTAATAGGAGCATGTGGCCCTTAAAAAGTGTAATCGGATCATACATCCAACCCGAGATGAGTTGCATGAAATTCTATTTTATTGTTGATGCTACCTGAATATCATTCTAAGGACAAACCTGTTATTTATATTTTGATGCTTATTCAAACTTTAGTTTACTTTCTGTATGTTCAGTTTCTACTAAATATCCAATACCTCCTCAACTAATTGTGAAATATTTGCACTCCAGGAATGGGCTGCAGTAAATGGAGGCAGTTCCCTTTTTGAAAGTATGTCAAAAGCCATTGATGAGGTGAACATCTCAAGAACTTTCCAGCTTCAGAAAACAAATATTGTTGGCAATTCATATAGTATATCCTGATGCAGGTTGTAAAACTTGGAGAATGTGAAATTTACAGCTACAAGCCAGATTTTGAAGGGGACCCTTTTCTTGAGGAAGGAGCAATGTACGACTCTTCCACTCAAAAGTCGAAAAAGTATCCAGAGCACCCGGTCCATTATAGTAATAGTGTATCAAAAGGATATCAACCATTAGCTTGGTGTATAATCCCCAAGTCAAGTGATCCAGGGTTAAAATCTTTTTGGTGTACCATTAGTATTATAGACTGGGTGCACAAGATAATTTATTCTCTCAAATCTTATTCATTAGATCGGCAGATATAACAGTGTCATATCTTACAGATGGTTCTGCAGTCCTAACAATTAAGTAATATTTTGCAGATGGTCACTAAATTTCTTCTTCTACAACAGGAAGCTTAAGCGCATTTTAAGCTTTCGATGCTGTTGCATAAGGTTAGTTACTCAGCCAATACCATTCTTAAAACACAAAATTTATTTTGTTAGCTCTTGTATCTGGGATAATATAGAGTAAATGACTGTTCTTCGTTTCAGCAACTTGGCTGCAAATGGTTTTATTGGTGATGTTGCATCCGTTGAAGATGAAGATGATTTGCTCAGAGACATGGAGATGTGAGTGAGCATCTCGATGTACAGGTGGGAGATGTAGATTCAATGGTTCGCCCAACTTGCTGAAATTGCTGTACATGCTTGGTACATGTTTAGAGTAGCCTTGTTGTTAAGTCTGTATAATATGAAATTGCAAATGTTTTGCTGTTGTGTATCGGTCTGTGTGATTCAACATGGAACTTGGCTTAACTTAACTACTTGCATGCTGAGGACACCAGATGTATGATATTTCCTGTATCTTTTAATTGGAATAAAGACTGAGGACTATTGACATTGGATTGAGATTTTAATCTGGGATCAATCCTGTGTTGGCATATAAATTCTGCTGTTGCAAGTTATTCTTGTTGAACCCAATCGTTCAGACTGTTTGAACCCAATAGGTCAGACTGTGTGATGCTATGTCCTTTTTTTGAATTCTGCTTTGGCAGAGATATGTGAAGTCGTACTTAAATCTGTATTTCCGCATTCTTCAAATTTTGGCTCTCTCATTGAGATGGTGTTTCTTAAAGCTTTTCTTTTTATTAGTGTTTATCTGGGTGTGAGCTGATAGAACACTATTAACACTGGTGGGCAGTTTATTTCGCAAAATGAGCTTATCAAGTTTTTAACATTTTTTTCCCTGGGCGGCTTATGGATCTGAGGGTGCCTTGGGCACCTTATGGATACTGAGGATGCGAGCGAATGCTCATGTTTCATGTTTGAGAAACACACACCGCACCCGTTTCGAGATTTACCAAAACCTTCCCTCTTCACTGTATGGTAACCCCTAATTAATACTATAATTACGGCTGCTAGGCTGGGAAAAAAGTATCAACAAGAGCAGCAATACTAACATAGTATGTCTAGCATTTGGAAGCAACTAAGGAGCGTCGATGGTTTAATTAAATTGGCTGATTCCATTAAAATGTTGAATGAAAAAACAGCAATAATATCTATACACAGATTCCATTACTATTTTCAGAACTGCATAAGATTACTTCTCTAAATGCCCTGAGTAAATATTCCTTCACATTATAAAACTACTTCAGCAGAACCTATGTACCTTTCAAAGGTGTCAAAGGTATTGTAAGCTCATATATGCAAGGCATTCAAAGTGAAGATGGAGGAACACAATACCAATTGCAGAAATGAAATTCCCAGCAAGTCGAAGGAAAGTAATATGACAGATGTATATTAGAAAAGTTTGACTGAACAACAAAAAGGCACTTCATTGTCGATAAGGCTCATCTGTGGTTAAATTAGTAATATTACAGTAGAACAAATCCAGCATTACAAAAAATTTACTGGATGTTATTGGATCAGGTATCCTTTTTCCCTCTCATTTCCGCATCAGAGGAGTCTAACCTCCATTGCTTAATGTTGGTATAACAAGTCAAGATCACAAACTGAGAGAAGCAAAGAGACATAATCAAGGCCTCAAAGAGAAAAGGATACCTCGCTGGAGGCTGCACTACCAAATAAATGCTGTGAAGCACAAATGAGCATGATAATGGCAAGCTCATCAATGCTTTAGTTCTGATAGATAACCTCTCTTCTTTTGTGTTGCATCTCCCACCAGGTGAGTAGTATATGAGACCGAAGAGAGCAAAAAGGGCCAAGTATTGCAGGACCAATTGATCCCGTGAAATAAGAGGAAACATTGAAAGAAGAGCATAAAATACTGACCACCCGAAGAGGAGAGGTTCCTTTTTCGCTAAAAGGCTTGCAGGTAGAAGAGGCAGCATAATCGATTTCTCATGAACTGCCATTATCCCACATTTGAAATTTAATTAAAGAACAATATATGCACGCATCGTTGAGGGTAATTAGATTTTAAAAAGCTAGGGCCAATTGAGGATAGACCCTCTGTCCTATAGTCCATTTGCAGATA